CTTCCCGTTACAGTCCCAGCTAAAAGCACTCCATGACTGGCCTGGTCTCAGCTCTAAACCAGAGTGGACACTCCCATCCCACTGCCTGATCCCCATGACGGTGAGAAACCCTTGGGGAGACCCTCATAGACACAGGGGATTCAGTGATGAGGATGCTACCAGGGAAACCCAGGGGACAGCAAAGTCCAGGGAACATTCTGGGGCGTCAGCAGCTAGCTCAGACCTGCTCTCCCTGAGCTCCCAAAGAGCTTAATGCACCCTAATAAAAGATGCTTTCAAAGGTACTTTCCTACATTGAGGTAGGCTCCTACATCTATAATGCCTCTCAGGGAGAAGTTGCCCAGCGAGGTGGTGGAGTCACCATCCTGGAAGTGTTTAAGAGGCATCTGGATCTGGCACTGGAAGATATGGTTTAGGGTTTACAGCGGAGTGACAGATGAACAGTCTCTTCCAACCTTGATGATTCTACGACAAATACCCCAAAACGTCAACGCGAACCTCTGATTAGAGCAGAACCTCTCTGACAAACCCCAGCAACCCTTCCCAGCCCAGGCCATGGCTGTACACACACTGCAAGCTGGCATGAGCCAGGACTGTTTGGGAAAGGAGCTGTCCCATTTTCCATCCAACCATCTGTTTATTTCCCTCCTGCTGCCGCTCCATGCTCTGTGCCAGCATGAGAAGCTGCACAACCCACACTGAGGAACTGCACCAGGCTGAAATTAATCCTTTTAAACTCATTTTGCTGAGGCTGTTTTCACCTGTATGGACAGACAAGGGCCACCCTTCCCCAGGCTGAGCCTGCTCCTTCCTTCCCACGGAGCTTGTCCGAAAGCACAAAGTAAGCGACAAGGCGTCCTCGTCTTTTCATGTGGCTGAGAGAAATTAATCTTGGAAATCATTCCAACACACCCACAGTAATGATAAGGAAATATTTCCTAATATGGACTCAAAACTGAATATTGGAGTTGTGCTGCACTCCAGGATTTCCTGCTATTCAACAAGGCTGAGCAGCAGAAGCCTCCTGTGATTCAGTTCTCTGCTGCTTTAGACAAGCAGTGCTGCTGGCAAACAAACTCATTTCCCTGACAGGAAAAGGCACAGGCTGCATGAAACTACATATGGATAGACAAAAATATATATATATAAAAACTAGGTATACCTACACCTATATCAAATATATACCCTTTGTTTATTTCCTTTTAGAGTTAATCTTTTGTCCATGTTAAGCAGCAAAGAAAGTTTTGATCCAAATGTAACCTTGGTTTTCCCAAACAATGGGAGACTGGTCAAGTTTAGAAACACAAATCCACTAATAAGGTCACTTCCATCTCAGCTCCACTTGTCTCAGCCTTCGGTGATACAATGACATTCTTTATGCTTCACTATCAATAGCTCTGTCCCCAAGTCAGGAGCACATTTTGAGACTCTCTGTCCCCAGAACACTCACTCGGCGCTGAATGACGTGCAGTGACATCCTGAAATCTTCATCAGCTCAGTCCTTTCAAATAACTCATTTTCTTTACAGAGAGCTTTTTAAGACAACTCAGTCATTTGGGGTTTAGCAGCACCCACTCAAATGGCTTCACTGTGCACGTGTGTGAGGCTGCAAGGTAGGACTCCCCCATCCACCCTCACAGAGGGAGAGAGACAGAGGGGTTGTGCTTCTGCCCCATCAGCAGGGCTAGTGCTGGGAGCAGCAAGAAATAGAGGTGTTGTGTCTCCACACACTGCTGTCTTCCACGGCGTGCTCCAGACAGGAGGTCAGCTCAGGACAACACCCTGGGTGACTAAATGAAGTACAAGACATGATGAGGGAACCAGATTTGCACTCCCATGCAGCCATCCCTTTCTTTTTCCAGAGTTTCCTGTGGCATTTGAATTGATGGGTTTTTAATTACTAGTGACAAAAGAAATCAGGAGCTTGCTGGAAAGCCAACAGTGCTGTGTGGAGAAATCGAACTGCACACTTTGCTTCAGCTCACTTGTATCTGTCCTTTCTCCAGGCTCTCCCCAAGTTTCACAGTGCTGCAAATCCCCCTCCTCTTACAAGTGTCTAAAAACAGGGAACTCCTCTATTTACTGGAATAATTGCATTCCTGTGCACTTAAGCATTTCCACAGCTTTTAGCAGGTACTTGCATCCTGGCATAAGAAAACATTGGTTTAAGATCTGCTAAAGTAAATGACAAAAAAAAACAACAGGCAGTGCTAGATATTTTGCTGCAATGTTTTGGATCATGAAGTAATTACAATCAGATCAAGGTTAATGATCAAAAAATCTGCTTCCTCCTCATTTACTGGTTTTCTGGATAAAGTTCTACTCAGATCCAATGAAAAATATGTCCCACTCCAATACATGTACGACTGTCCCAACAGTAAAATTCAGTCACAGTGAATTTCTCTACATCCTTCATTGCCAAGAGACACAACTTAGCACAGAAGAATAAGAGAAGGAGCCTCTAATGTGGCACCTGCATAGTTTCCATGAAGCTGCAATACATTTTTGGGTTTGATCCAAGAAAATCTACTCTCAAGCTTTAGGCATGTGGTAAAGCCCTTATATTTCCTAAGGAGTCTAGGGAAGCAGGAGCAGAAGAGGGTTTCACCTTTGGGAACTAGGAGGGACATTTGTATTGAAGAATGCAGGAGGAGAAAATGCTTCTCTGACTGCTGTATGTCTGATTCCCTGACTCTTGCCAGGCTTGTTAGATCACATCAATCAAATTAAGCAATTACATATGGTGAGTCTGTGCCAGCAAAGAAGCACTAACTGCTGCATGAGAAGCAGAACATCAGTGACCAGGGATGGCCTTTAGTCAGGGTTAATGAGCAGAACAGATCCCTTGGTCCTCAAAACCTGCAGATGCAGGGAGTACATGCTGTTAGTATATGCAATGCTGGAGAGCAGATGTTTGCCTGTTCAAATCCCACTACAACAGTTCAGTTCTTTAGCTGCCATTTTCAGAGGAGACAGCTGTTTGCACACAAAGCAGACCCACCATGGTGAGGCCCAGGATACACAGAGATGAGATGTGTGTGGTTTCCTGATGGAAGAGAGGAATAAACGGTACTGCCTTCCTCATACCTGAAGCTGTGAAGCAGATTTCGAACACTGGGGATGAGAGCTTACCACCAAACCATCAGCACCAAAGGTGGAGAAGGAAATATCATTTAATGAAGGAACTATAATGGCAACATCTGGTCCCCATAGGGATAACAAGGACAACCTTATTATCAGAGTGGTTTAGGGGAGAACAGTCAATGCAAACGTGGTCTGGCATTTTAACATTTCTGTCAAGAACATACATATCACTGCATCAATCTAGATAACACTTTGAGAGAAAAAATACACTGCCAGTGTGTAGATGGGGCTTACCCTTCTGAGACTTAGAGGTTTAAGTGCAGAGGAAAACAGCTTTTCCAGAGGCAGACTGTTCCTGCAGCCTTTCCTCAACATCCCAACTGCTCATCTCCTCTAGGGCCTAAGAGTGACCAGGAATGCTTTGTTATGGCTGTGTATATACACATGATCCCTCCTACACCACCACATAATCACCTTTATAGGAAGGTAAGAGAAAAGCAAAAAAAGGAAAAGGAAATAGAATATTTGCAGCTAGGTGAAAGATGATGTGATGGGCATTAGTTCCCTGGGAAAGCTCACTCAGAATGGGTGGTGCTTTCCTTTAAATTAATCTCAGATGTTTGATTCTATTATCTGGTTTCCTAGTTCAAGGACAAGAGAGACTCAAGCAGGGTGTGGGTAAAAGCTCTGGCTATACCCAGCTACAACAGAAGGTGAGAGGGAAAAGGAACAGAAGAGATCTGCTTAAGTTTCTCTAAGATATCAAGACTCTATGTTAAACATGCAAGGAAGGGGCGATTTCCAGATTAAAAAACCTAAATCTTCAGGAGCCCAGTTTGCTGTGCTTTCCAGATGAAATCCATTATGGCAAGAATAACAGCAAAAGACAACAACTTCTCAAGGAGCAAACCTTTCCCACCAAGGAATCCTTCAGAACAGAACAGCCTTGCAGCACATCCTGAGGGCTAAGCACTCTCTTCATGGAACACAGGTCACCTCAGACAAAGGAGGAGAAGGAGAAGCAGCTCTTGTATTCATGCAGAGTGGCTCTCACTACTCCTTTTCGAGGTGTCTCTACTGCCCTGTAAGGTGACAAAGTGTCATTGTGCCTCCAGTTCTTTATCTGTCAAGTGGAGATAAATACAAGTGGAGTTACCTGCAGGAAATCTGAACCAGTTTAGTGCAAACAATGTGTAAAGATGGAGACTGGTGGAGTGGGAGATAAAGAAGTCTTTCAGGCAGCAACCTGAATTGTTGGACCAGTTGGATATAACCAGCTATTTCCCACAAACAGTAACCAGAGAAAAACCCAAATAAGCTGTAGGAAGAATGAGATCATTTCCACTTTTGAAATATTACTTAACATCAACATTTCCTTATGGGGATGGGCCCCATGCTCAGGGTCCATCCTGAGCGTCTGCAGCAGACACACACGTAACTTGTACTTGACTTGGAATAGTTTTATGCTCACCCAAAGAATGCCCAAAGACTTATAGAAATGCCTGGGACCTGATCTACAGGAACAGCCACAGTAAAGTCCACTCTAATTTCTCACTCATTCCTCAAAGCATCTCCTCTCATTCTACT